ATCAAGGGAGAAAGAAACAGAGAATGAATGAATGAATGAATGAATGAATCGTTATTTATTTGAGCGAGAGAGAGAGAGAGAGAAAGAGAGAGAATCGCCAATTATTTGCCTTGAGAGTTAATCCCCTCAAGCGCGAGATATATTATCATACAGTACAAGATATACGGCTTGAAAGCCTTACAGTAATACAGAAATAAACTAAAGAAAAAATAAAAAATACAAATAAAATAAAAATAACAGAGTATGTAGGTGTGAGAGTATGTGTTTGTGTATAGAATATATGTACCCAGTAAACAGGCTGTGCACAATTTCGGAACATTTACATAGCATAGTGTATGTAAATGTTACAGAACAGCACAACGAACCAAAACGTAGCAGGTATATCATTGACGTAAAATGGCTATAACTGTTATGTATGATCGTACTGTCACTATTTCGATGCATAATTAACATAATATTTACGTAATTTGAATAACATAAATTTTCATTCTCTGAAAACTTCGTAAATGTTACGTAACTGTGATAATGTTACGTTATTTGTATATAAATGTTACGTGTACGTTCCTTTCTTTTACTGACTTTGTTACGCGAAATATAATTAACATATGCTGACATTTTGATCTGAAAATGACGTAACTCTTACAGAACAGTGAAACATCGTTCCGTAATGATTACGTAATGTTACGGAACGATGTTTATTGGGTATAAAATAAAGAGTAATTTACACGAAAAGCCGATCAAACTTCAATCATGTTAAAAATTAATAGACAGGATTGGCAAGTACTTAACGCGTTACTTGTAACGTCATTACTGTTACAAGTTATTTTTTTCGGTAACAAGTAGATAACGATTAATGTTAATGTATAACGTACGTTATACATTTTTGGAATAATGGATTTCACTAATTACTTTTTTTTATCGTTACTTTATTTTTAGCCACTAAAAGTTTTAGTCTTAACTAAACCATGTATATATACATATATACATACATTTATCAATTTTTGAATTTTATTTCTCTACTAAAAGATAGAAATCTGACCTCTCTTCAAAATATTTACTGCAAAAATCTGTGTATAATAGCGTTTTTCATTGGCAGAATCAGTGCGCACTCAGAGCACTTTAAGCTGTTGTACACAAATCGATGTAAAGATGTTTAATAAATTCAGGTTAGAGTAGTGTATAACAGCTTTAATGTCACTGAATTCTGCCAATGAAAAACGCTATAATATTCTATTAGTGTCAAGAAAAACAAGTAATGAAAAAGTAACGACTCGCTTACATTTTGAGTGATGGTAAAATGATAACGAGTTACATTTGCAAATCAATAACGAGTAATGATAACGTGTTACTTTTTAAGAAAAAGAACGGAAATGATAACGAGCTATTTTTATATGAGGTCGCAATAAATCTATTTAAGGTTTTCAGCACATTAACATCCTTATAATATGATATCGGATCGAAGATTGAGAATTTGTTTGTCAATTTGATTTAATTTGTGATATTATTGCAGTAGTTTAATTGCGCTTGATAAAGTCCGGAAAAATTTCGGCGCGCAGTTTGAATAACTACAAAAATGTGATATATATACATGTACATATATAAGATATAGATAATTCACTGGGAATTATTTAGGCAAAAAGATCTAGCTATGACCGTTATAGGATTGAATATGCTTATACTTTAGTATTTAATTTCATGTCGGTCTTAATAAATTCTTATTATATGAGGTAACGTTGCAAACTCTATTAACAGGTAATTATAAAATTTGTTTTTAAAGGTACTTAGAGACTCAGAGTCGCTAATCTCAGAAGGAATAGTTTGAAATATCATTAATATAGTCGCATAACATTTAATTCATATAAACGTTTGAAAAATTCAATTCAGCACATTATATGTAAAGATAATACACCACTGTACACTGTGAGTTCTTAGGTCTGTTTTTTATTGCTGCATTTTCTAAACTAGTACACGGTGCAATAAATTGAAATGAAACAAATATACGTTTGTTTCATTTCAACTTATTGCAGCGGTTCAGAGTGCAGCAATAAAACACAGACATCTTGTATCATTCAGGGTTTTGTTCCCTTTTTGAATTCAAATCCATAAATGACGTAAAGCTTTTAAATTTCAGAATTTGGATAACTAGACTGCTCACAAAATATGTGCGACGAGAATCAACAGAGAGAGGAGAGAGAGAGAGAGAGAGATCGGAAAAATATACTTGTAATTGCGAGAAAAAAGCATTGTACGAAAGACTAAGAACAGTTTCTAGATCGAGAGAAGTAACGTTATTCTCACGCGCGTACAACCATACGGTCGTAATTGATCGCTTTTCGCGGAAAAGCAAGCAAACGTTTCCCAACCGTACTATGCGATAACGAGAGAAAAATTGCGGAATAGTAGGAGAAACTCCGTGAGAGAAAGAGAGTACGCACCCGCGGAATTGTGGGGACAAAGCAATAATTGTTATACGCGGTGTACGTAGACCGCGTGAATATCTTACAATTAGAATCGCACGATAGTGGAACGATCCTCTCGGAGCGCCATTGTTTCGATTCTCGCGCTGCTTCTGCAAAAGTCGGTTTGACTTACCGTAATCATTATCCGCCCGTCGTCACCGCGGCTGCAATAAGTGCAATTATCACATCTATTTCTAAATTCTGTACACTCGAAATTTTTATGATAACGTAATAAATAACGCGATCTTTCTCTCTCTTGAATTGAGTCTTTCTATTTTCATCATATATTCCGATTTCTTATATAATTATTATTAGTACAATATTTTCTAATCTTTGATTCGATTCTTTTAACGAGGGACGCGAGAGTAATCTTGTTAATTATAATTGATTTGTTTTTGTAAAATCTCTCCGGATAGTCAATGAACAATGTCGTGATGTAATACGCGATCAAGGGGTATAATAATCTCTTCTTACAGTTTAAACCTTGGAAATCACGCGATTATATCCGATAAAGATTCATCCGGCTGAGGAACGAAGCATAAAAGGCGTAAAATGCGTAAAATGCATAAAATGCGTGAAAAGGTATGCCTCAATTACCTTTGCACCTGTTGCGTCTACAGCTCCTTCATGATAACACCAGGAAATTTTCTCTCATAGCTCACTCAATTCTTGATAAATATTATATAAAAGACAAGATGAAAATCGAGCTTAATGCGATATATTTAATTTGCCTGGACATTGTTTTTTTTATTGTTCTTATATACATTCCGATAAACGCATAAACGATAAACAATCGCAAGTGGTAAACGCAGAGTTAAGAGTCAGAAGTGTTTATAGTCGATTTTTATATTATTTAAGACCATAATAGGTCTGTTCGCGTTGCATGAAATCCCCAAATATTTTTGTACTTAAAATGAGATAGATACATATTTTACCTTGAAGAGAGAAAGCGAAGATGTCGAATGCCAAAAGTGCAAGCAACGCAAACGGATCTATTAAGTACAATCTTAAAATGTCATAACCCAATGCAATATTAGCATCTTGAGACATTACTTAAGATGACCTTGTAATAAGAACGGATTATGAATACCAGCCAGAGTCAAGAAAGTGCGAAATCTTAGCATTCTTTGCATAAATTTCCGTTCTCAGCACTGTTTGATTCTCTTTCGATTGGAAGTGTAACCGTATTTGGTTGTAAACAATTACAACTTTAATAATTGTCTTTAAAAGTGAAAAGCTCTTTTTGAGAATGTTTGACTACAAGTATGTCTGCTAACTTTTTTTCTTCTAGCACTGTGGATTTTTTTATTAAATTAACTTAAAAAAACTATATGTTATGATTTTGCTCACCTATATCTACTACGTCAAGTAATAAGTGAGTGCGTAAGTGATTAAAAGAGTGAATGGGTCCAAGAATTAAAAAGAAAGGAGAGGAGAAGGAGGGAGGGAGAGAGAAAATATCTGATGTATCATATTCATGCAAAAAAAATATTAAAGTAGTATCGGGTATGATACTGAAGTATCAGACTGCTCCTCGCCCTGATGAAGTGAACTGCAAGGTTCACGAAACGTTGGCACTCCAAGAATGGATCAGGACACCGAAAAAACCCGCGAAACGCATAATCTTTATATTATAGTAGAAAGCACCCATGGAAGGCTCAAGAATATATGTTACGTGTATTATACATAAATTTATACATGTATGATGTGATATAAAGTTGTAAGAAAAAGTGTTTCAATATTGTATTAATTAAGTATTTAGTAACTGATGATATATTTCATCCAGTTACTGGTGAAATATCATCATTTACTGAATAATTAATCAGTATATTGAAACACTTTTTCTCTCCCAAGGGTATACATAATATATATACATATATATACATTACATTATAATATATACACAAAATTTGTTAGTACATTCAAAATAATATGACGTATTGGCTGCGTTCAGCAGAGAAAGCAGCTTGCAACTGTTGTAAAATTCTTTAATATGATTGATCTTGCCCTTAGTTAACGAAAAAGTAACGAAAAAGTAACGTCGTTACAAGTAACGCGTTACTTCCCAACCCTGCACATTACTACATAATACTTAGTGTATGTGTCATAGATGCATATATACATCATAATTATTCAAAGAAAAAAAAATTTGGTTTATACATTTAGATCCAGTGAGGAACTAAGGGCAAGACCAATCATATTAAAGAATTTTACGACAGTTGCAAAGCTGCTTTCTCTGCTGAACGCAGCCATCGATACTCAACATGAGAATTTTAAAAAACAGCATCACATGTATATACACATTACTACATAATATACTTAGTGTATGTGTCATAGATGCATATACATCATAATTATTCAAAGGAAAAAAAAAAGCATACATTTAGTGACATCTGTAGGGATTTGTAAAATTATCAACAATTGATATTTCAGATAGACGCAATTTCTAGTGGCTTTCTTCACGCGTAGATGTCGCCAGTTACAAACCACCTTACGCATATATGTTTATTGTTTATAGTTCACGCACATTTCGGAGTTTTTTGGACTGCCCTGGACTTGAACGATTACAAATTGTGACAAAATATGTTAATATTAGTTTATATCATATTTTTGACAATTTTCGCTGGTCGCCTGTGTGAAGAAGAATTTTGTTCAGCAGATAATGAGATAAAATCCTGTAAAGAAAATGAGATTGCTCACCAATATTCACTGTACACGAAAGGTATTGTTTATTAGAAATTAACTGTAATAATTATGGAATATGTGATACGATACGATGCGATATTATACATACATATAAAATTCCCGATTAAATATGTCATCTTTTCTATTTCTAGAAACAAATGAAAGATACAAGAAATATCTAGTGGCGATTCAAAATGCAGAGCAAAACTACAAAGAATGTAATAACACAAAGCATAAGTGCTATAAAGATGTAATTGTACGAGACCTAAGGCCATTTAAAAAAAAGGGCATAAGCAAAGAAATGATTGAAGCTGCTAAAACTAGGTATCTATGGTATATCACATAGATCAGTGATTTAGACCTGGTTTTATTGTAACATAAGATTAACTTTAATCTTGATTTATAAATTTGTTTTTTATCTTCTTCTAATTCTATAAATTAGAGAAAAAGATAAATATTTAAGTTAAATTGAGATTAAAGTTAATCTTATGTTGGAATCAGACTTTATATATTGGACCTGTTTTTCTTGTTATTAAACTAGAATTTCCATTTCTGCTTTAACCAAATATTGTACTTATACCTACTTAATTTTAAGTTCCAAAAGTGTACACTACTTTAGTTATTAAAAACAGATCCAATATTAATACCTTTTGCCCTTTTCAACTAAATTTTCTAAATTTTATGATAATTTTGCACATAGGGGTACATTTTACCAAATAATCAAAGGTCAATTGTACAGAGAGAAAGACTGCATGTTTCCAGCCAGATGTGCTGGAATTGAACATTTTTTATTAAAGATAATTGGTAATTTATCCGATACAGATTTAGTTATAAATACTAGGGATTATCCTCAATCTAGTGAATATTTTGGAAATGCTTTGCCAGTTTTTTCATTTAGTAAGGTAAGAGATAAGTCTTATCTATTCAAAGATTTATAACAAGATACAATTTATAGGATATATATATTTATGCAATTATGTTTTGTTGAAATTAATAAGAGCTGTGCAGCTTGCAAAATGTATTTATAGACACCACAATATTATGATATTATGTATCCAGCATGGGCATTTTGGGAAGGTGGTCCAGCTATCTCGTTATATCCCCGTGGTCTTGGCAGATGGGATCAACACCGTAAAACTTTGAATAAGGCGAGTTTGGAGATTTCATGGGAAAAGAAAGAAAGTAAAGGATTTTTTCGTGGCTCTAGAACAAGTTCGGAACGCGATAATTTAATTTTATTAAGTCGTAATAAATCTCATTTAGTAGACGCTCAATATACTAAGAATCAAGCATGGAAATCTAATGAGGTATTGTCGTATTGTCTTTTAATCACATTAGCGGATTTTATATGTGTAATAACGCGAAATATACAAGACAGTTGAATTTTATTTTAGGATACTTTGCACGCAACACCAGCGTCAGAATTATCTTTAGAATCGCATTGTACATACAAATATTTATTCAATTTTCGAGGTGTGGCAGCTTCATTTCGACATAAACATCTATTTTTGTGCCGATCACTGGTCTTTCACGTCAGCGACGAATGGATGGAATTTTATTATTATGCCATGAAACCATGGATTCATTACATACCCGTTCCCAAAAATGCAGATCAACAAGAGTTGGAGTAAGATATCACATTTAATTTTGCTATAATATTATTAATGTTTGTACCTTTATCAAACTACCAATCTTTTTGTTTTGGTCTATTTTGTTTCATTACTTTTTCAGGGATTTGATTGAATTTGCAAGGAACAATGACGATTTAGCAAAAAAGATTGCTCATCGCGGAAGAGACTTTATATGGAATAATTTGCGAGTGTCAGACGTTATACATTTTTGGAAACAACTTCTTAAAAGCTACAGTAAACTTCTAGCATATAAACCAGTATTAAAAAAGGATCTCATAAATATTAGAAAAGAATTATGATGATTTTATACAAATATTAAAGATGAATCTCGTGCGATATCTTCCTATATAAGGATAAGTATACAAAAATAAGAGAGAGACGCCTAGTGTGTGTGCGTGCGCGCGTGAGTGTATTTATGTAAACAAAATACGTATATAGCTAATAAATGCAATTGAAAATATGAAATGGTTAAAATAAACATATGTATTTATTAATATTATTTATATGACAATGAAAAATATAATACAATAGAGATTTTGTTTAAGGCACGACAAAATAGCGTGGCAAGTTTCAATATGAATTATTAAATATCCTAATATCAGTAGTAACACAAAGAAAGGCGTTGCACAATTAAAATTACGTATTAGACGATAATATTCGAGCTGACTCAAACGATAATAATTTATAATGAGTTTAAAATAAGATCATGTAGTAAAAAAGTTATTTTTGTGTTGCACAGAAATTCTCTTATTCAACAAATATTGATGAAAAATACAAAGCCTTTCTTCTTTTACTCTGATAATACTTAAAGGCTAAGTATAATCTTTAACAATTAAGTACTGGTCAAACATTCGTATTAGACTAAAATACTTTTTGAAATGTAAGAAAATATAGGATACGTACAAGTATTAAGACTGTTTTATAACATCTGTTAATACTGAACGAAGACAATCTTTTTATGTATATAATTTTGCAGGATTTCATTTCTATCAAAAAATGATTGTTATATGTTTTACTAAATGTGTTTTAAAGTGCATTTTTATTTTACACAATAGAAATCTAGAAAAGAAAAAGGCACTTTATATAAATAAGAATTATATAGATACATAAATTCTCACACATACAGCACCATTAATGTCAGATCAATCTGACAATTTGCATATAGTTATATATAACTATACACTCTAAACATATGTATATGTATGTACATATACATATGAACACACACACAGACATACGTATGTGTATAAATACATATATATATATATATATATATATATATTTATACATATCATACATACATATATATATATACACACACACATCATTGTATATAAAACTACAAAATAAACAAGCTATCAATGGAAAAAATCGTAAAGAAAGCATTTATATAAAAACAAGGATTCTCTTCAACATACGCAACGTCGCATAATGGAAGCGAAATCAAACACTTAGTTTGAAATGACGTATAGAAAAAGTTGCGCTTGAACATATCTGGCATTTACAATTCATTTCAGAGAGTTGTATAAATTACAAAAATACTTTCTAAGGCACTTGCACCATAAGATAACAGTCACTTTAGAATAGTCGCAACGCAGCAACGATGACACTAGTAGTATAGATATTTACATACATATAAAAATGTATTGCGCATGCAAATAAGATTAGATATTTAATGAAAGTAATATATAAGCTGTAATTGCTTACTGTTACATAAAATATTTTAGGATTTACATTACGTAAGTAGGAGAGTCTAATATTCACATAACACTTTTAATTAATCAACAAATATTTTTTAATTACAGTATTGTCAATAAAGAATCCGATTATTGTTTGTCATGTCGCAATGTCCGAATATCCTTTTATACACCTCGCGATCTAATCAAACAATTGGATCCCAAGGAATTTATAAGTGCCTTTGATGTTTAAAGTCTTTGCGAATAATGGACACGCGAATAAATAGGCAGTGTAGAACATTCTATGTTATGTTACTGCGTGTGAAACATTATTGAAAGATATATATGAGCCGTTTATTTTTAAAGTGGCCTAAGTTCAATGTTTTGTTGTTGACTTTTGTAGTAGCGTGTACAACTTGAAGTTAGCTGTCATAAACAACATTTTTTTTTTTAAATGGACTTAGATCACTTTTAAAATAAACAGCTCATATATATCTTTGAATAGTGCAATTCAAATACGTGCTATAGCTGCGCCGCGCATACACTTGCGCAACAACGCAACAACTCGACGGTTTAATTGCGGCGGAAATATTACTCGTCATAATTTTCTAACTATCTACTTAATTACCGAAAGCGCAAGTTCTTGAACCCACCAACGACGATTTCAATTGACATTCACTTTTCAAAAATAAACAAAAATTCTATCGACACATTTTGATCACATTTCGCGCACGCATATCGATTCGAGTTTCAAGTCACTGCATCGATTTCTCAAAGTCGACGCTGCCTTTACGTAGCCACGATGAACCTCGCGATGATCACTGTTATGATGCCGAGCAACAGTTGCCGTGTGCTTTCCAATGAATGCAGCGAATTCACGGACGCCCCAGAGTTTTCATGATGGTGATTCGATGATGTGACGAGCTCGTCGGTGCCTCCTGTCGAATTCAAATTTGAATCGTAGTGGCGGGTAATCTCGAATGACACGCCATGCAGAACGACGCATGCGCACATTCGAGAGCGCGAAACAGTACAGGTCAATCAAACAGGCACGAAGATGTCGGCCGTTAATTCTCGGTCTCGCTCTCTTGCCGCCGTTGCCGGTTGACTGTTGTTGTTTGGAACTTTATTTGGTTTTTCCGCGTGTAAATAATCGGGATATTTGGCACGTGTACCGGTCGTGGGTCGCGCCGCTTTGACCGCTCACTTTTTCCCGAATTCGGGATGTACATTGTTGTCGTCTGGAAAAGGTGATTGCTCCCGGTTAATGCGGGTGGTAGATCATTTCCTTCTCACGGTTTTTTTTACAAGCAAACATCGCTGTTGTCTGTTCACAGCTCAGTATTTAGTGCTATTCTCAGGTAATTAATTTTGTGAATATAATTTTTACTAAAGTCTTAAACACAATAGACACAGGCAATAAGCTCGCAATAGGCACAGACAACAGAAAATAACGAACTATCCAATTGGAGCTCTGATATGTAAATTCGATATTATATCCCACAGCTCTGATTGGAAGATTCGTTATTCCCTGTTGCCTGTGCCTATTGCCTGTGCCTATTGTGTTTAAGGCTTAACACGTTTGAACTTTTTATATCGGTAGAAAGAGGTTATATGACAATGTCGAATTATAAATTTCACATTCAAGCTCGTATTCAGATTCCCACCCGGGTGTTCTCCGGATGTCATGTCATCCTTGTTTAAGGGGTTATATGTCTACCTGCATGATCGGAAAAACTCGTATTCTTGGGAATTTTTTTTTGAAAAAATTGGAAGTGCTTTTGAAATGAACGTTTATGTTTTCGAATATATGTATTTCGAGAGGATAATTCAGTATTTTTTTTATTGCAAAATATCGATAATTAAGGAAGATGTGAGTAAATCTCCCAGAAGCAGTTTTTCTAGAAACGTTTTGCGGTGATCACTCTAGCTTTGAGCTGATTTATCTGAAGTAAAAAAAACCGACAAATTTAGTTAATATATAAGATTATCTAGTGCCTGATCGTTCATTTTTTTGAAAAATTAATTTGCGACAAAATGGCGGCTGTTCAAATTCGAAAGTACGATTTTTCTATCAAAATTCGTTCGTTTTTTTATCAGTAAAAAAAAATACGCAACGAAAAAAATAGCCACAATCGGGCACTAGATTTTGTAGTATTAAAGAAGCCTACCAAATTTCATTTTGATCGATGCAGCGGTCCTCGAGATATTTTGGTCACCGATTTTAAAAATGTGGTTTTGAGAAAAATGCGTTTGAAGTTTGCCAAATGATTTTGAAAGGTGTCTCCTAAAAAACATATCTTAGGATCTCCAAAAAATCCCTAACAGCTAGAATCAAATCCTCTACATTTTCCCCCAATAGTTCGGACTGTACAAAATTAAAAAAAAAAAAAATACGCAATTTCACGTAAAATACCTGCTTCAAACGTTCAAACCAGTATACCTTTAAACTCACATAACTTCGTCAATTTTTGTCGAATCGACTTGAAATTTACAGGGAATATTTTTGAAAGTGTGTACTTTAAGAAAATATCAAAATCCAAAAATGGATTTTTTTGAAGTTTATAGGTATAGGCATAACCCCTTAACGTTCGGTAAATAATAAGGATAATTAAGAAAATATCAAAATCCAAAAATCGATTTTTTTGAAGTTTATAGGTAGGCATAACCCCTTAACGTTCGGTAAATAATAAGGATAAAGTGATACCTGGGTGGCACTCGGATAGGAATCTGAACATAGCCCAACATGGCTGCCTGATTTGTAAGTATATTGTCGTAACGTTACTTTAATAGGCCTTCTACAATAAGCCATAAATCAGAACATCAGAAGTCTTAACCAGTCTTAACCAAGTCGTTCAAGTTGGCTATTGGCCAACTTCACCGATTATGATACTTAAGATCGCTTAGAATTTTGACTTGCGGCTTATTGTAGAAGAAGGCCCGTAAAGCCAAGCCTGTCTAATTTAAACTCCGAAGCCAAAATGCAAAGCTATCGACGCAAAAAATTCAGTGTGAGTAAAATTTCGGGGACTGTAAAGTGTTGATATCTGAGTGATGTTTATCGATACTTTACAGTTCCCGAAATCTTACACTGAATTTTTTTGCATCGATGACTTTGCGTTTTGGCTCCAGAGCTCAAATTGAACAGGCCTGCTTTAAGCGAATAATTAAAACTATGATTGCAAAATTAAATTAAATTCGTAGGATACGAATTTGATTTTAGGACGTCATTATGAAGGCAAGCCATTTTGTTGAAAGCACCAAATACATGAGAATGTCAATATATGAGATATTTTATAATGTTAAATAACTTAAGTAGGAATTAAAGATCCCCATGCTAGAAGTAATGAGCATGTCTTAAATCTTGATTAAATTAAATCTTACAGATTTAAATTTTCTGTGTTCTATCTCGTGATCATTCTCGTTCGCAATTGTCAAAAACAATTACAAATTTACATTTGTTAGAAAATCCGTTGGCAACAAATTTCTCTAAATTTCTTAGAGTAAAATCTCACTCCAAAAAAATTAAAATACTGCCACTATTGTAAAAGAAAACATTAGCACTCTTGAAAAAGAGTAGCAGATTTTTACTCATTTGGAGTGAGATTCACTTCAAAGGAAAGAAATCTCTCACTCCTTTTTTTGGAGATACTTCAAACGTGTGAAATATTTCGCTCTAAAAAAAATACAGTGTAAATCTGCCATTCTTATTCAAGAGTGCAAATATTTTTACTTTTTTTCCATTTCAATGGCAGTATTTTCACTCCAAGAAATTTAGAAAGTAGAAAATTATATATTTATTTTTTACACTATTTTCATATTTTTCTAACAATAAGTATTTATTTTTCAAAATATATTAAAACTGGAATGAATGTATGTACAAAGTATAAATAATAGTAAAATTAATTTAAAAAAATAAAGTTAGTTTTTCAAGGTACGAAAGTTGTCGCTATTTAAAAAAATAAAATTATCTGTTTTCTTTACACAATTGATCTCATTTTTTTATGCATAAAAAAGTATTAAGGTACGATTATAAAAAATTAATAGTTTACGAGATATTTTATACATATTTCAATATATATCAGAATAAAATATAAAATAACTCGACAACTATTGAGATTTTTTCGATATTACAATCTCAACTTTTATATGCAGAATTATTGGAGGCATCATATTTAAACGAAATAGTGATAATTTTCATATGATCTTGAAAAATTTATTTTTCTCAAAAGTTGATTTTATTATTATTTGCTCTCTCAAGCCACTACTTTTGTCGAAAACATTTTTCGTATCTTCTACCCAGGAAAAAATGTTTCATATATATTTATATATAAATATACATAAAATTGATATATTTTATATATATTTATATACAATATGTCCATATATATAACATTTTTTCCTGGATATATATTCTCCGAAATATTTACTTACGGCAATTAAAATGGGATCTTGTATAATATAAAAGTAAATGAACACATAGTAGAATAAAACCGAAATACATAGTATAAAAGTTTTATACAACTTTCATATAAAAAGATATATATCAAAAAGATATTTTATAGCTCTTCTTATAGGTTCTCATCAATTTTAAGCAATTATCTATACGGAGAAGTAATTCAAATTTTTTAAAACTTTTAGAGTGAATGTCACTCTTATGCCCGATTTCTTCACTTCCAGATAAGTTGCGGACAACCTTATCCAGGAGATATCTCCATTGTATTCTGGGAGATATTTTTCGGATAAAGTTATCTAGAGGTGAAGAAATTGGGCATTAAAGATTGAAAAGACAGCCAAAATTGTTTTTTTTTTTCAAGACTGCCTCAATTTTTATTCTTTAAGTTATTCTCTTTTAAAGTGAAATTCTTCAAAGAATTTAGAGAAAATAAAATAAGTAAAATAAAAATATGGATAAAATAGATCACTAAGAAAGAATACAGAGAGAAAACTTATAAAGTACCAAAAATCAAGAGTGCACTTTCTCATAAAACCCCATCAATAAATTAAAGAAAGAGGAAAGGATTGTGCGATTCAGGACTAATGCGTGATTGCAAAACACATGAAAATATTAATTTTCAACGGACACGATGGACATCTGAGATTAAATACTTGTGCAACGAGGCGTGCATGTAAAATACTATATTTGCGAATACAAATATTTTTTAATGTGAAAAAACAAACAGAAGAAAAGAACGAATGAAAATAGAATCGAAAGGAGCAAGGATTTCCTGTAAGAGTCGATCTATTGTTAGAAGGATGTATTGTTACAAGTCGAAAACACGCTTTTATGCTAGATTAAGTTCCAAACAACATAACTGCCAACGGCAGTGATTCATGCACCTCCCTGTTTCACGCTTATGTCAGGTGCACGTGTGTGCTCTCATGTGCATGTATTTTAGAGTAAGTTGGTGCGTGTTTTTTGATGAGATGTGTAAACTTTGCTATTACTCACTATCTTCTACGTGTGTCATTAAAGTTATGAGATAAGCAAGATGCAGGAAAAGATTCATGCTATACATATATATATATATCACATATAATATTTTTATTATATTAATAATTAAAGTCACTCTAGGGGAGATCGAAAATAGAGATAGAGTACGCGTAAAGAACAAAAGAGGCATAAATAGTTGACGCGAACCATAACCGTAATGTGCTATAACGAATGAAAGCCGTCCGTGTAAGCGAAAAACAAGAACAAGAGAGAGAACGTAAAAAAAAAAGATCCTTATTTCTAAGATATATATTTACTTTTGTCTTGTCAAACTGGATGCGGCGACGATGATATACGGCGACCTTTCGCGCTATCTATCACCATTTACTTTTCGATGTTGAAGTTCTCAGAAATCAAATACTTTGTTCTCATCCATCGCCTGGCTAATAAATACTCTGGGCTTTAATGTACAGCAGACATCGATAATAAGTGATAATAAGTGAAATTATTAGCTTCCTCGATAAAGAATCGATATAAGCCATGAAATGAATTTGACGAATTGCAAAACGAAAAATTTTCAATTCGCGAGTTTGTAATACGCGATGTTACAGTACAATTATAGCGATTAGTTTAAAATTGTGTGCAACATTAAAGTTAACAAATGATAACATTATAACGTTAATAAATTAATGTTTTATATGCATTAAATGTTAATCTAGTTCTATCAGACACAAAATTATAATAACGTGATTATTTAATTTGCAATTTCGAATATGCTTGGTTAGTGATGTGAATAGGCAATAGAAGGGTTGCCAAAATAATAGCATTAACGTTTCTATGCGTACAGACGAATCGTGCAAGCATTACTTTGTTTTTTTATGTTTCAGTTACCTAATTTTGCAATTTCCGTGTCGACAGCTTGAATTATGATACGTTTAGTAATGTTCAAAATATGTTTCGTTGTGTATACGAACATTTGCGTTGTGTCATATCCGATTTTAGCGATCTGTGACTCGATAAAATACGAAAGAGTCATTTTAAATTATCATGCTTGTAATATCTCAGGATATGTTACAACATCACAACAATAATTTAACTCGCAAATCTACTAGTTTATTTTAACATTTTATTCTATTTAAACTTTATGTTAATTGTTCAAGAATTAAACCTGATTTTCTTCTTGTTTTTAAGTATTGCATGCACGTGTCTTTTTCACGCAAAGTAGCCCCAGTATCATAGCCAGGTATAAGAGACACCAAAGTTTTTAATATCGCATTTCCTGCCTGCCTTCATGCCAAGGGGATTATTTGTTTCCACAATTGTTGATTATTTTCAGTGAATTAGAACAGAGCAAAGCACAGAATTCTAGGTATCCACTATCGCGATTTTCCAAAGTATTAATTTAAAGGAAGCGCAATTCATGTAAATTCGCGGAAATTTATTCATCTCGTTGTTCTAGGAACATTCTTATTATGACGGTGTATTAATGGCAACTAATATAAGTACAGTGACAGTAATTACTCTCGACGCACGTGTCCATAAAAGCTGAAGAATAAAATCTATGATAGAATACGGAAGAGTCTGAAATTAACTTTATGAATTAATTAAAAAATGAAGAGCTATTCTTCAAGATATTTACTTCAAGAGACATTCGATTTAAGATAAGCATCGTCGCGGACAATGGATATCTTTAAGTTTATTCGAGGGTAGGCAGGATTCGATAGAGATTTTGTACCTGCGTCTAGAATGATGTCACCAACGCTGTCAAGATTACCGTAATCGTCGTATGTATCAGCCACGTCCAGATTACTGGCAAATGCGAATGGCCAGCGATCATTACCTATTGTCCCTTTGTTAGCAGACTTGCACCCAAACCACCAGTACGCTGTTGATCTCGGGAAGGCAGGATTAGCATCGTCAACCTGGTAAACCAGAGAGACAATTGTTTTATATAATATGATATTTTTATAGAATTTTATTTCTCTACATATATATATATATATCTATTACGCAAAGTCCGCAAATGGGCAATGTCGACGCATTGCCCAACCCAATCGCGTTCACCCAAAAAAAAAATATTCTGCCGATAAGCGGGGAATTCCTCTTAGCATTTCCTCTAAGCAAAAAATCTTACATTAATCTTACATTAATCAGGTGCGTGTATTTATAACACGTATTCATCTGTTAAAATAAGGCCACATGAGCTATGATAAAAAATTAATTCCTCTATAGAAAATTCTATTATAATAACTCAAATAGCCTTTTGAAATAAGAGGATATACAAGATACTAGCGGCACGTTTATTTGTTAGAAGTTTGTCATTTACGTGCTACCGTAGTAAGCGTGCATGACATTCTTCTAATATTGAGAGGATTGCAATCCTAAATCCAGTACTTTATGGTTATACAAAGTTCCTTTACTTTGTAGAGTATCCTTTTGAGGTTATATATATAAATGGAAAATCCTCTGACATTAACACAGAACCGTTAAATAGCAGAATTTTTTTTTGGGGTATTGGGCAATGTTGACATAGAAAAAAGACTATTCTTAAATCAATCATAAAATACTCATATATAACCAAAAATATTGTAATCTTGCTTTAAAGATTAGTCTTGATTTGATTGAATTTGTATTGATGTAAGATTTTTAATTGAGCAAGTCTTGAATTGAATGCAAACTAATACTTGCATCAAAAGAAATTTAATTAAATCAAAATTAATATCTTTAAAGCAAGATTACAATATTTTTGCTTACATATGAGTATATTATGATTGATTTAAAAATAGGTGCGCGGCCCAGGCAATGTCTACATTGTACAGCAGGCAACTCGGCATTGCCCACTATGCGAACTTTGCTCGTAACACAAAAATCCACTTTCTAAAACTTTAAAAATGATTCTACACGGTCAATAATACTGATTAGTAATATCGAATTAGTAACGCTGACAGATATGCATCAATATTTTTACAATTTTATACGATCAGTATTATAGACAATATATTTTACTTTAATTTTACGTGCATTATCTATTGCATTGTAATATACTGTGACATGGATCTTAATAAAGATCATGCTCGAGGATCAAAATCCAGATTTACGTCAAACCATCAATAATATTGTTAGTATTAACAAATACTGACAATATTATTGATGGATTGATGTAAATCTGGATTTTGATTCTCGAGCACAGTGGCGTAACTAAGCCTATGTGCGCCCCCCCGCAAATTTATTTAGGCGCCCCCTTTTCTTCCGCCTTAATTTTTTGCATTTGAACCTTGAAAAGGTTCCACGTGTATTATGCAGCGTCGCGTCACGACACGATTTTTCACTTACCGCGCGGCAAATGTTTCGATACGGTAACGCATCAAAATAAATATCTACCCTGGGCAGACTGCCCATCATATACATGCATGAATTTTCATGTAGGTAACTAGTTCAAACAAAATCAATCACAGATTCTTACAAATTAAAATTATTTGTTAATACTATGATACCTAGATGCGATCATACTCTTCATTTTATATAGTTTTTGTAAACGACAAGAAAACCACGAAGATTTTGCTCACAACTTGATTTGTTTAAAAACTATTTTTATTTAAAAAAAAAATTGAAAAAAAAACATTTTTCCTGTAAGTGATCAAGTATATTCTTTACAATGGCGCTGACTATGTTCATTTACTAAATTCGTGATTGTATAGTTTTCAGGGCGTTAAATGAAATTTTAGCACGAAGGTCACCCCATAAAATAAAGGTAAAATTTCAACGCCTGTGAT